AGCCAGCCATGCTGGCTGGGGAATTCTGGGAGTTGAAGTTCACTCATCTTAAAGTGGCCAAGTTTGGACAACACTGGACTAAGGGAAGATGTGTTGTTTTTGATGGACCATATTGAGGGCACTAATTGGCTGTTCCTGTAGTGTCTGAATGCACATTTACAGATCAAGCATGTTTTTAAAGACCAATACATGTTTTGAAATGTGTGTCCTATTATGCCTGGGATTAACTGAATGCAAAATGAGGGCATTCAACAAGTATTCCTTTTCTTTGCATCTAATGTTTATTACAAAAATGGCGGTAAGTAGCTTTAAACTACTAATACAGCAGTTCCACAAAGTAATTTTTTCTTTCGCTTAGGTGAGTCTGTGGATGACTGTGGTGGGGGCTACAGTGAATCAATAGCAGAAATGTGTGAAGAACTTCAGAATGGACTGACCCCACTTCTGATTGTGACTCCTAATGGAAGGGATGAATCAGGAGCAAACAGAGACTGCTTTCTCCTAAATCCTGCAGCAAAGTCTTTGTTGCACATGAACATGTTTCGTTTCCTAGGTAAATTGTGCTGCAGCATTACTTAAAATTTGGGTGAAGCTTTGATCATGCAATATGTGTATATTCTAAATTTGTTTTTTACTCCCCCCCCCGTTTTTTTAATTACCTAGGAGTTATGTTGGGGATAGCTATTCGGACTGGGAGTCCCCTGAGTCTTAATCTGGCAGAACCTGTATGGAAACAACTGGCAGGAATGAATTTAACAATTGCTGATCTCAGTGAGGCAAGAAAAAGCTTATGTTCATCTATATAATATTGTTAGTGTAAGATTTTGTCTGGTTATGGTCACATCCTACTACTGCTAGAAGGCTATGCTTTTTGTATGACATACACGTTTTGTATTTGGCAGGGTAAAATGTTGCATTCCATCTGTGGTGAGGGATGAGATGAGAAAACAAAAGAAAGGAAGCATTTGTATGTGAGAGTCAAAGGCACATTCTTTTCTTAAAGCAAATGGGCAATGTCTGCTTAATTGATAATAATACAACCCTAGGCTTGTTTAGTGGAAAATATACTTTCAAATTTTAGGGAAGTAAATGGGCTGTAAGTATGTCCACCCAGGGAGAAAATAATGATCCAGCCTATATCTGGATCGTAGGAGGAGATTAAAGCCTCTCCCCCATCACCTAAGGCAGGTGATTGATGTTAGGAATATTGGAAGAGTCATACTTGAATTTCTCTCCCAAGAATACAGGTGTATCTCTGTGTGTGCATCTCTGTGTCTGAGAAAAACAGAGAGAGGAATATGGAATGCTTGTGTGTCGTGGCTCCCACCCTCCAGTCTCACACATTTGTACAGTTCTTGGAGGGCTGGTTCCAAAACATTGCCAGCCCTGCTGTAATTAAGTATAGTCTTAGTGGTTTGTTTGTCTGTTTATTTATTTCCACCCTACCTCGGGGCTCCAGAGAACCCTTAATCAACCTGATTTGGATAGTCAAAATCAAGTATTTCTGCTAATGGTTCTGGTATTAGTATCTTTCTGCATTAGTGGACAGACAAACTGATATTGTATGGAAAATACTTAATTTGGGAAATGTTCAGCTTGCTACTCCCTTTCCTCAAGTATATTGATTCTCCTGTTTACCACACTTTCCAAAAATTATATGATAGCTTCCCCAGGCTTGAAAATGGGTTTTGAGGTATTTATATTATTCTTCCATAGCTCATTGACATTCCCCGTTCTAATTGTTCCTCTCTAAGAGTTTAGAATCAAGTGGATCTCCAGTTAGTATCTCCAACCTTAAGCATGTGTTTTTATTTGCTTGCAGGATCATAATGTGAATTAATGAATTAGCCATATAATTTACTGATAAACATTCTGTGGAAAAGGCTTCACTTGGTTCTGTTTTATATTTGAAAGGTTGATAAAGATTTTATTCCTGGACTTATGTACATCCGAGACAACGAAGCTACCTCAGAAGAATTTGAAGCCATGAGCTTGCCATTTACTGTGCCAAATGCCAGTGGCCAAGATATTCAACTCAGTTCCAAATATACCCATATTACGCTGGATAATCGAGCAGAATATGTGAGACTTGCAATAAACTACAGGTTTGTGAAATAGTCAAATTTATGATAAAATCTTTGTGATAAGCGGCCCTGTAACTAGTCCACTGTTGAATCTGTGCAGTAATATCTGTGGGCGTTGAGATGAAATCAAGCAAAGAGAGCATAGAGTGTGACACAGAAAATGACAGAATGATCATGGTTAGGAGTTCAATTCAGTTTATCTGAAAGAACTGAAAAACTCAGTACTACTTTGTATTGTCTTCAGTATCAGTGATCTTGTGTTCATTCATCTATTTATTATAAGGACTTTCTTCAGGCTTTGTAAGCAAATTCTAGAAGATATACAGATATCTTTGCATATAAGCACTGAGGAAGTTACCTAGTCGGATAATGAAATGTCTGCAAGAAAATAACCAAGCTCAGAGAACTCCAAGGACTCCACAATACAAATATCTCTTGCTGTCTACCCATATGATTGTGAAGTAATTATATTCCTCTTACTGACAAATATACGGGGGTTTTTTTGGCAGATTACATGAATTTGATGAACAAGTTGCTGCTGTTCGAGAAGGGATGGCCCGGGTTGTCCCTGTTCCTCTTCTTTCACTTTTCACAGGATATGAACTGGAAACAATGGTGTGTATATACAGTTGTTGTTGTCCAACTTAATAAAAATCAGAATATATATTTGTACTTAAAAGGTTTATAACTATTTATAATAGAAACATTATAGTAGGTGATGCCTCATTACTTGCGAAAGGTTAGGTTTAGCTAGTTACATAACTGAACAATGCAAAAGAAGTAAGGCAGCTGCTTTGTGCTTTAAAAATATTTAAATTGTAAATTTACAATTTGAACTGATATGGGAAACCACGTTCAGCTACTTCTGTATAATAGGAAGATATGTGAAAAATTACCATTGAGAGTGATAAGGAATACTTTATTTTCTTTGTTTTCTGTCCAGATGTTGATGGAAGATAGATATGCTGATATTTTATTAATAGCAACAATGACTTATCCCCACCTTAAATAGTTCTGATCAAGTTAAAAAAAATCTTGGGGTAATCAGTGGATCTTTTGTATAGGAAGACTGTAAAGACTCTATTCAGTCTAAGCTCTGGGGCTCAGGCAATTTTATTTTAGATCTCTAATGGATAGATCTTAGACTCAAGTAAAAACACTTAGATGAAGTAGATTTTGCAGTCATAAAATCAGCCCACCTCACTTCTAGTTGTCCTAGAACCTGTAGAGCCAGGTCCCTCCTTTGCAGCACCTATGTGAACCTTAAAGATAGCTTTCTTTGTTTGATAACAGTGAATTTACTGGCAGAGAAAATTAAGAAATTGCTAGAAATAACAGCAACAAAACATTGTTAATGTTTCCCAGTTACTGGCCCTTAAAGTGAAAATTAACACCCAAGGATCAAGAAGAATTCAAAGATTTTTTAGGCTAGGTCAGTGTTCTGTAACTTGGATGTCCTCCAGATGTGCAGACTTAAATTTCCAGAATTCTAAGTAGTGGCTTTGCCTGCTGAGAATTCTGGAAATTGGAGTTAACACAATGTGATGCCCGCATTGGGAAAGACGGTTCAATATCTTCCTAGAACACTTCATGCTCTGATCTTTAAGTTCTGATGGTATCAGACTTACTGGGCCTAATGTCTGTTGCCGCCTTAGAAAGCAGAAGACTCAAGATCTTTTTTGTTTTCTGCAGATACACGACCTGCATATGGGCACACCCAGTTATTTGACATACATACTGGTGGCCACGTATCTATGTGCTTAATCTGATTATTGTGGCAGATTCATTTGTACCTACCACATACTAAAATGACCCTATCATAGTTGAGAGCTTCTCACCTAGCTCTGTTGTTTTTGGAATAGATTCCAATCAATTCTACTATGAATCAGATCGCTTAATGTTAAAAAAAGCACTAAATGTACTTCATGAGCCCCTGTAAAATTGCTTCAAACAAATAAATATATCTTGCCCATTATTTTGATTATGTAGAGGTTTATATTGTTTATGTCGTGGATCTTTTAGTTTAGAGGCTTCTTATTTTATTTTACGATGCTATAAGTTTTTGTAATGTTTTTGTATCAGTAGTTTTATTCTTTGTACTGCACTTAGTTATAGGAGCATAATAAATAAAACTACTACTACAACAACTATGAGTTAAATAATTCTTGAAATGAAATTATGCCCCTCCCCTCCCCATATTTCCTTTGATTCTGCTCCCATATAAACACCAGGGTGTAGATTCACAGTTATTTCATTATATCTGCTGTGTGTATTCACATTCTTTTGTCTGTCTGTCTCTCGCACATGAAAGAGTGAGAGATATGACTTTTATTATTTTTTTTAACCAGCTGTCTTTTAGTTGCCTTTTCTCCTGTTGTTTTCTTGCGCAGAATTATTTTGGGTTTTGGTGGCTAAGTTATGATGGTTTTTCCATCCTCTGGTCAAATGATTCCCTGCCCATTTTGAAACATTGGATCTGAATTTTTGTAGCTATTGAGAGAGAATTAATACTCACATGAGGGAACAAAGCGAGAGGACATTAGCATCTCTGGTTTAATATGTAAAGAACATCATATATCAAAGTGTACCTGAGCACTCAGGAATCTCTAATAGTAGCATTTTTAAAATACACTCCTACTAAGGACTATTTTTCAAGCTATCATGAGAATAAAAGCTAAACTAAGATTGTTTCCATTTTTCCCCCTTCAGGTGTGTGGGAGTCCAGATATCCCTCTCCACCTTTTGAAATCTGTGGCTACTTACAAAGGGATTGAGCCCAGTGCTTCTCTCATTCAGTGGTTCTGGGAAGTGATGGAATCCTTCTCCAACACAGAACGATCTCTGTTTTTGCGCTTCGTATGGGGCAGGACCAGGCTTCCCAGAACAATTGCAGATTTCAGAGGCAGGGACTTTGTCATTCAGGTAAGATTTGGAGAGTTCAGGAGACCAAAGTCCACCTATCTCATGCAGTGTAGGAAACGTTTATGTATGTATGGACTATTCAAAGAAAACAGGAAGCTCACAACTAAATGCTTGTTGTTAGGAGTTTCTCTGACTATTTCCATTTCTTGATTTTTCTTGCCATGATTTCTCCTTCACCTATGTTGTTTTTTGGATGCAACCAAAATGGTTCCAAAAGTAGTATACAGTGTATTATTTGTGAAGATTTTTCTTGATCCCATGATTATTCTGCTGAATAGTGAGGTACTTCCAATAAGAAATAGTTGCCTCTTTTCAGGTAGATTAAAAAACCCTTAATGATGGTATTTTTATTTTAATGTTAATGACTTAAATCAGCCTATAACAAATTGTGAGATAGGTTGGGTAAGAAAAGACTTAATATTCCTCAGCAAGAAACTTGTATAAAATGTGCTGTGGATTTTTAAGGAAGACAGTAACACTTTGATTTTACAGACACCCATTCAGCAGACTTCAGATGCAACAAACAAAATTTTAGTTCAGGCTTCACTCCCAAATAACAGACAAGGTTCTTTGTTTCCAAAGAAGTCCTGACAATTGAAGTAATGAGCATAATTAGCGTCATTTATGTCATTTGTGTAATTAGGTAAATGGGCATAAATTGCTACAAATTGTATTAGTTACTTCAATTATGCAATTTGAATTTAATGATATTTGGCTTTGACATCTCTTCCCCACAATTCATGCATAAAATTGAGTTTTACTGTAAAACACATTGGTGACGTTCCAGGGGCACAAGTTTCTTCTTCCAGCACTAACCGTAACAACCCAATGGTCAGTCCAAGAGAGCTACCAGTATGTAATTGGTTGCAACAAGCACTAGCACAAATGTACAAAAAACTTAACTAAAGCTTGCATGGCTGCCGGCACAGTGGAACATCTACCTATCTCCCTTGCACAATGTTTCTTCCATTAGACTACTATTACATGTATAGCAACTTCAGATACAACTTCAAAATTAGTTGCTATTTGACTTGGAAGAAAGCAAAAGAAGGTGACAGATATCTTCCCCGACCCTTTCCTAGGACCAGGACCCTGACCCTCTTACCTGGAGATAAGCCTTCTTGGAGCCACACATTTTTTTTCAATAAGCATGGATAGGTGACTACTTTGAATTTTATAATACATTGTGCTGTACAAATGGCATTCAGTAAAATTGTTATTTTTTTTTCCCTCACAGGTTCTGGATAAATACAATCCTCCAGACCATTTCCTTCCTGAGTCGTACACGTGTTTTTTTCTGCTGAAGCTTCCTAGGTATTCTTGCAAACAGGTGCTAGAAGAAAAACTTAAGTATGCCATCCATTTCTGTAAATCTATAGACACAGACGACTATGCTCGGATAGCATTGACAGGAGAGCCAACTGCTGATGATAGCACTGATGATTCTGACAATGAAGATGCTGACTCCTTTGCTTCTGATTCCACACAAGACTATTTAACTGGCCACTGAGAAGGGAGGCCTCTTGTTAGAGACAATGCTACAGCCCCTGAACAAAGTGCCACAAAGTAGCGTTTATGCAACCAGTCATTTCAAGATCACAGTCCAAAGGCGTGCAACTAGAGAGCTACTAATCATTACTAAACAAGGAGTTTGTGCTACTCATTGTAGGAATAATGGCAGATAATGGAAATAACTTTCTCTAGCATAAGTGGGTGCCGTACATGGGCATTGAACTTCTGTTTTGATGGCTGGAGATTCCCTTCACCCCCTTTATGCTGCACTGCAGATAGAACTTGGTGTTTACTGATGTGTTGTAAATGTTTATAAAACATTGGTAGTGTGGAATTTAAAAAACTGAAATATTTTAAATTGTCAGTGCAATAGATTTTTTTTTCAAATTAAGTGTTGTGTTATTTGCATCTTCTTGATTGTATATTGGAACTACTGTGCAATTACTGAATAGTATTATAAATATTTCAATTAACTTTAATAGTTGTTTTGGTTATTAAAAACTTTTTTGAACACTCAGTTATCAGTATTCATTATATTCTAGCCAACTAGCTGGCTGACTAACTAGCCAACATCTCATTAAGCTTACCATCTTCCAATGTCATCTCCTGTCCTCCCTCCTCCTCTCTCAGTAACAGGACTGCTTAATGTGAGATACAAAATCTAATTGTGCCACGACTATGCCAAATTATCATTTCTCTCTAAATAAAATAGCCATCACTACCCACTAACAGCTTAATAGGACTTTTCATGGTGAGAAATCTTCCCAATGACTTCCAACTTCTTAAACATCATTGTAGCTGCAGTAAAGAAGTGATGTTGCTCTGCTAAAATTTCAAGGCTTAGATAGTCCAAAGTTTATATCTGAATTACTTTTAAAAAGAAAAAAAGTCACCTTTGAGTGAAGTTTGATTCCTGGTGGCTTCTGTGGACACACCTGTGCAGTTTTCTTGGCATGCTACAGAACTGATTTGCCATTGCTTTGTTCCTGGGTATATTTTTAACTTCCTAAATTGCCAGAGCCCTGGATTTCTCATAATGCCAGGCCTGATGCTACTTAGCTTTTAAACTTGGGGTTTTAGCTATGAATCAGGAAATTTCCCACCTTATTCCCACCTACGGTTGCAGCAGCTGTTTTTATGCATCTAAATAATTTGCCATTCTTATTCCTAAGGCAGCCTCCTTTAAGAACATTTATACTTCCAAATTCATCCTAACAATACTTCACCAAGACTTTTTGAGATGAGTAAGATCTGATCTTATATATATTCAATCTGCCACATCATGGTCACATGGCAAAATCACTGCTTCATCTTTATTTTTCTCTCACTTTCTGTCCCACCCATCCCATTTCAAAATATTCCTGGAAGAGCCTCTGTTTCTGATATTCTTAGAACCTCCAAACATATATTTTGTTTCTTAATTATCATTTTCAGAAATCATTCCTTTTCATTTTAAATTTCTGGTTATTCTGATGAAGTGAACAACTGTTTCATTTAGTTAGTAGCATATTTTTCTAATTCTGAAACCGCCAACAAAAATTTAGATCAGGTCCCTGAATAAGTAACATATGTTAAATGATTTTGAAAAAGTACTTTAAAATGCAATGTATATTCAGTCGTCTTAAGGGATTGACATGAATTCTGGGTACACACATAGATACTGCCTAACACAGTTTGACAGTTTTCTGTCAGTCATGATTATATATTTTATCTATTATACTTTGAAAGAAACTTAGTCTTGGGTCAGTTAGAACTCAGCATACAGTAGCTGGAAAATGAAAATCACCCCTTGATTGTTTTTAGTAGTAGAATTTGCTTAATCTCAGGGCAATTCTTTATTATGTTCCAAAATGTTAAGCCAGAAGTTAGGTCCATTGACAAATTTCTGCCTTAATAATACTTTCCTTGTTTTGCTCTGGCACTTGACATTTGGTTTCCTAAAAGCTCCTTTAAACCTTGCTAATCTCTGCCTATTCCTTGACTTGTCTTTCTATAGGATTATTTTACAAAACTAGGTCCAGTTTTTTCAAAACTAATTGAGCCCCTACAATAAAGTTTTCATTAACAATCTTAGATTATCACATTGTGTTTCGTATTTTTCTATTTCACTAAGCAGTGTGAGACCTCAGTGTTCATTGAAAGGGCAAATTCCTTTGGCTTTGCTATTGCATTAACTTTTTTAAAAACAATGCCGGCTCAGTTTCTGACTTGCAAAGAAACTCCCTTTCTCTTACATTTTGATCAAAAGTCACATGGCAACGGATTTTTTATATAACCGATCATACAGAATTGAAAATTTGGTACTAGCACGCCAAATGAGATGTTGTAACTGGAATCAGTATAGTTGCTTTTGTCTGTCTTGCATTGCCAATCATTTTAATGGGATGAGCTTTGAATGAAAAATCACATGCTTTACTCCACAGAAGCATGGATAAAATAATGTGAAGATAAAATTTCATGACCCTTTATATAAAGCACTTAACAAGTTTCTACTCACAGTCCTGTAAGAGAAGTCCATTGTAGGAATTCTATTTAGATTAATGATTAGAAACTAGATCATGCAGCCATTCTATTGGTTACCATGATGTCTGGATCAAGCTATGGCCAGAAATGTGTTTAGAATTCAGACAGCTGTTTTATGACTTGACTTCCCTGCTATTCCAGGTAGCTAATTACATGGCTTGTGAGTTTGAGGATGTAGGTTTGAGCTTCATTTGGAGACTGTCCCTGAAGACTCTAAATGCTTCAGGTTGAATGTATTGTTACTCCCCACAGAAGGGCAAAAGAACAGATCTTACCAAGATACAGTCTTACAAATGTGTGAATTTCTTTTTGTGTCTGAGGGCAACTAATTCGTACATATTAGCTCACTGGTGAAAATGCTAGCCTCAGGTGATATGAAGAAACAGGTCTGAAACCTTGGAAAATTTTATATGTCTTTCTTTCTCTGTATCCTGCTTAAACATTAACAATGATTCAGTTACAAATGCTATATTGCTTTACTAGGATACTACTACCTGCTGCCTGTCAGGTGTTTTGAACTACTGCTTGCTGAATGTGGCTATACTTTTGGTTAAAATCTGATGTCCAGCTAGGGGGCTAACCACATTGTTTGATTTGGAAATTGGAGTGTAGATTCAGGTTGAGCATAGTTCAATTCAGGTTTTTCTCTTTTCAGGGGGCTTTTTTTTTTTTTTGGACACAACATATAGATAGTCCTCAAGATGACTTTGTCACCCTGGAAGTGTTAACTTTAGATTAAAAAAAAAAGATAATGCAGAAATCTGGTATGCAGATAACAGAGAGGGATCAGAAACACAATGTCACTATTGTCAAGGATATGCTTGAAATAGAAAATGTATTTTGCTTCTAATTAAGAACAAAACAGCTTTACCAGGAATATTCCACTGGAATATTCTGAGATGACTGCATCAACAGAACAGAATTTAAACAGCTCAAGTGTTCCATATTTGGAACAAAATTTGAAGTATTGCCATGGGAGAAACTGGAAGTCAAAAAAGCCTCCATTGTTTTTCACCCCAGGATCCCAAGAATAGCTAGAGTGGCTGTCTATGCTTAATGCTACCAACCAACTTTCAGAAAAATTGGCCAAAGAGATTATGTTTAAAACTTTTGGAAACTCCCATCATAAAAACTGTATGGAAATGATTTCTTTCCTTCTATTCTGGCACTCAGATGTTCTTCTTTTTCCTTTAAAGTATTCTAATCGAAAGGAATGCAAAGAGAAACTAGACTTTGTGTTCTTTTTAAAAGAACATACTAATCTCTCCCACATTACTTTCAAATCAATTACTTCCTCCAGGGCAAGCTGCCTGAAAGTCACACAGCTGGAAAGAAAAAAGAAAAAAACAGTTAATTCATTAATTCAAATGAACTTCTTTCAAAATGTTTTAAAGTAAGCCACTTAATAAACATTGCCTTAGTTGCCTAATGTTTTGCTGAAGACATCATGTCTACAGGATTTCCATAAACTATAAATGAAATTCCCCAATCAAAATATGAGATACATTAGTCTGACAAATCCTTGTTGACTCCTGGTTATTCCTGCATTGCTTTCAAGTGCTTAGAGATTACATCATAAAGAAGTCTGCATCACGGTCTAGAATCTTCACGACGTTGATGTTAGATTGGCTTGTTTGCTGGAGCTTCCTCCCCCCCCCCATTTTGAAGATAGGGCAATACAGGCAGTCCTCATTTAGCAACTGCCTCATTTAGTGTTTAGCAACTGTTCACAGTTACAAAGATGTTGAAAAAGTAACTTTGTGACCAGTCTCTGCATTTGCAACCTTTGCATGTCTGTAAAGCAAAGGAAAACTGAAGTAATGTTGTACAATTGTGATGTTTCACTTAGTGACTGCTTTGCTTAACAACCAGGTTGCTGGTCCCAATTGTGGTCTCTAAACAAGGACTAGCTGTATTTGCTCTCCATCCATCCTGCCATTTCATTAGCCTGCAGACTTCTCAAAGGGAATACATGAAGGTTGTGCAGTTCATCAGCTAGCTCCTTTAGTACTGGAGGAACTCTGATGGGATACTGTATATACTTTTTTGTTGTACCAAAATAGAAGGTGAGTAGCTCTGTATTTTCTTTGTACCCAGTTTGTATTTGCCATCTTCACTGAGCAGCTGGTATCCTGATTCTTTTTCCTTTTTATTTTGAACATACAAGATGCCCTTTTAGTTGTTCTTAGTGTTCTTTGCCAATCTTGACTCCCTGTGAGCTTTAACCTTTCTGTCACAATTTCTTCAATTCTGGTATATATATAATCTCCTTTTCTGATAATCTTTTTTCATTTCTTACACTTTTTCATTTTATTAAGCTTTCTGTGCAGCCACAGTGACTTGTTCTGCTGTTCTCTGTTGTTGTTTTTTCCTCTGGAAAGGTTTGTAATTATACTTTCAGTACCTCTCTGGAATGGGGGAAGTGAGGCTGAGAAATATTACATAGGGTCAATTGAGAGTTAGCAGTTGAGATGAGCTGTTGTATTAAAGAAGGGATGCCGTTCGCGAGAATGTCAAAATGGCAGGATGGCGAAGAAAAGGAGAAGAAAACCAGAAAACACAAAGCCCATAGAAAATGTGCACTTCAAGGCTCAGAAGATGTTCCAAGGAGAGATGAGAAAGAGAGATTGTTTTGCAACTGTGGATATGAATAGATAAGATGGGAGTGGAGAAGCTGTAATTAGTCCAGCTGACCAGAAAGCCTCAGAAGTCCCAGGCTGTAATGGTATGTGGGAATGACCTTGGAAGGCAGAGGGAAGAGCCACAGCCAGGGGGATGGTTGGATAAGAGGCAGCTTAGACTGCAGAAGGAATGTGGGTATGGCAAACATCCCAGAAGGGACTCTCCATAGTTTCTTGGGTTGTAAAGGGGATGGGGGAGAAATGTGCTTTCAGACTTGCAAGATTCTGTTAATGTAACCTTACAATAAAGTTGCATTAATTCATCTGGGTGTACTTCCTTTCTGGAGTACCCCGTAAGGCTGATCT